GGCAGAAGTTTATGGATGATAGTGGAAGCCCAAAATCCATTGTCAGGGTCAACAAATAGACGAAGCCTCTGGTCAGTCACCTCTGACCATAGTCCAGGGAGAGGACCGTCTTGTTAGCAGGCAGAGAGCACGGGAAAGTCGACTGTGGTAGAAGCTGCTAGGTTAAAATGTAACCTTTCTTCTGACGCCTTTTTAAGTTGTTTCTGTTTGGGGGGTAGAGGGAAGGGAAGGAAAGGGCAAAGACTGTTAAACAATCCACTTCCATGGAGCAAAGCGTCCTCTGACGAATCCAAAAGTACATTTAAATGCCAGTTCTCATGTCAAGAGAAAAGCTGTAAATCAAAACCAGAGGTTTTGCACCCACCCCGCACCAGCTAGTAAGGTATAATTCATAGTCAGACCAGATAAAGTGCTCACTTGTGTGTTTTGAGGATAAAGAAATGAAGTTCCTCACCAAGTTTAAATACAGAACTCATTAATTTTTTTCTGCATGTATTAACAGCATATGCAAATAAAAGCACTTTAAATTTTAATTTTCCACATTTTTATTGTCAAAATATTGATCTTTAATTATATTTGACTGTTTTTAAGATATTCTAGTAACCTGGTGAGAGAGGCTATAATTAATCAAATGTTTTTTATTCTTATGTCTAATGTAGCAAGGTTTATTTTTAGGTGATATTTGAATGTGCAAACTACCTAGAGTTAAAGAAACCCTTTCTCTAGTCTCAGTATAATGTCATTACATTATGGATTATTTCTGCTAACTGAGCTAGTTTATATAATACCCTGTTTCCCTGAAAGTAAGACATCCCGTGAAAATAAGACCTACTTACAGTTTTGCCTCTCACTGAACTATAAGGCATCCCCTGAAAATAAGGCCCCCCAAAGCTACCGTAACTCTGGACTCTGGACCGTAGCGGCGAGTGTTGCTGCGCAGCTCACTGTTGGCCGCAGCGCAGCCAGAGCAGATGGGAAGTGTGAGGTCTCTTTTAATAAAACAATAAATGTGTACCACATTCTTCATGGAAAAATAAGACCTAGCGCATCTTTGGGAGCAAAAATTAATATAAGACAGTCTTATTTTGGGGGATATAGGGGTAGCTTGGTATATAATACCTTTGAAGTGACCATATTTGTTGGTATAAAATGTGGCATTGCTGATTACATGTTGGGCTGTTAGCTGCAAGACCAGCAGTTCAAACCCACTGATGGCTTCACAGTGGAAAAATGAGATTTATAGTCTCAGAAACCCACAGGGGCAGTTCCGCTCTGCCCTATAGGGTTGCTTTGAGTTAATCTATACTAGATGGGCATGAGTTAAGCACTTTTGAGTTTGACCTTCCAATTGGCAATGAGAGCCAAGGAGCAGGGAACTACTTCCATGGGCCTTTTCTCCAAGGTACAAATTCCTGGGACCACAAACAGGCTTCTAGTCGCTGCTCCCACATAAATTCATGAGTTCTGAACCACCAGGTGAGACCCTTTTTGAGAGACAATGATTGGTCACCATGATCATACATATTTTAGGTCTCCAGTCTCCATAGTTACATATGAAAGGGTCTACTTCAACAGTGAAATGGAACGGATGACATGATACAGATGGATAAAGATAGGCCAGAGAAATGCAAATGCAAGACAATAGTAGGAGTACTTATGTGATGTCAGACAAAGTTGTCTTGGAGGAAAAGAAAGGAAATTAAAATGAGACCCAAAGAGTTCAGACGCCTGCAAGGATCTCATCTGAAGCAACAGGTGACGTCAAGAACAGAACCTCAGCATTCATAGGGCAAAAGTGATACAGACTTCAGGAATAAATAAACAAAACACATTCATGATAGACTTTATAAATTACCTCTCTCAACTTGTAAAATATTAAGTAGAACAAAAATATGTGCCAATATAAATGGCCTAGATACAATTTTTCTAATCATTTAATTGAGATATACAGGACCCTGTAATTTTGAAACCCCAAATAAGGTTCTCTTCAGTATTCCAGGGAAAGCCAATAAAACCCACCTTTATTAGAATGAAAAGGAAATCTCAATTATATCCAGGAACTAGCAATAATTCACAAAGACAATGACCTCCCGCCCCCTTGGGTGAGAAGCCACTGAAGCCCTGAGCAGTGGTCAACAGCTTTCTGAGGTGCAAACCTTGGTCTCCCCATCTGGGTAGGGGTGTGTGTGAAACAAGCGAGGAACCTGGGAAGACATATGGAAACAGTAAATGCAATGGAATAATGGACCATGCAAATGTCAGTGTCTACAACCTTGAGACCAGAATAGCTACCTGAGGCCCAGCTGCACTGGAAAGGATCACATTAAAGAGCGGATCAAGTGGGAGAAAAATGTGGAACAAAAAGCCAGATTCACTGGTTCCTTAGAAGCAGGGGAGACCCCCCAAGACCACCGCCCTGAGGTCTGGAACCAGCTCAGTCATTTGAAATCAAAAGAAACGCATGTCCGAGCAGCAGTTTAGAGGGTTAGGAAAGAGGGAGGAGCTAAACCAGAAAGCACAGGGAGAACACAGAGCAAGTGGTGATACATTGAGGGGCTTGCAATGGATGAGTTACAACAAAATGTATATGATTTCTTAATGTGAGATTGATGATCTGCTCTGTAACCTTCACTTGTCACAATAAAATTGTTTTTTAAAAGAGAGAAATTAGCTCTGTAGTCATAGCCACATGAGTATACGTGACATGATGTGTGTAAAAAAATGTATCAATTTCAGCTTCACTTATAATTCTAAAATATTGGACACAATCTGAACCTCATGACTGGGAAATTGGATCAATAAATTATGACATGCCCAATCAATAGAAAAAGCCATAAAAAGAATGACTTGAAACTGCTAAAGAAAATTTAATCTATAAACACTGAGATGGAATTAATTTTGGATTTCAAGTGGAAAGCAAAAAGCAGCTTCTGTGGCAAGATTGTACTTGTGTATTTTGAACTGGAATAGCATATGCATTTCTTCACCATGGGAGGATGAGCGAAGAGTCTGATCCTGTACAGATGCAGCCTGGGAAGCACGATGGGGCAGGGCTGCCCTCCTAGATCGCTGTGAGTGGGAATCAACTGAAATTCAATGTTTTATTTACTTTAATAGAATATATCGATTTAAAATATGCCAGTCCATATTGATTACATTTTTGGAAAAGAAAACAAAAAAGAAAACATGTAGGGACATGTAACAATCGTTCCTCCAAATTTGGGGAGATTGGGTGCTGGAAAATGAGGTGAAAGGGAGATTTTGTACTTTCTTTATATTTTCTTTTTAATTTTTCACTTATATATATTTTCTATTTTAAGACTAGTTAAAAATAAAGACCATACCTATATCTATGTTAGAATATGCCCCTTATGAGAGACTGTACCCTGTTTGTTACCTTTAAACTATCATTTCTCAATAAATAAATAAGGGTTTACTTTTTCTATCAGGCCTTCCGGGGGAACTCGACTTTAAAAACAGAACATTGCTTTTCTATTGGTTTGCAGGCCAGTCTATTCTTCCAGGCCCCAAACTAATCGCAAATACTGTTGCCATCTTTATTCGTTCACTTAATAGACTGCACGACACGTTTAGATTTGTGTTTTCATTTCTTTGTCCTTCGTCGTAACCCCAGCAAGGGGACTCCTGTCAGTGAAAGTTGAGCCGGACAGCATTCTTCACCGAGGGGTTAGGTCGGTGTTTTATTGCCGTTCGTGTGTGGAATAAGCTGTGAGGAACTTCCTCTTAGCTCGCTGGCCTTCGTGAGTTAATGCAATGTTCAAATACAACTCATGACTGAACAGTAGCTTGGGCTCTGGGAAATTTTGGCTGAGCAATATCTGTGAAATTTGAGATCATCTTAAGTATGCTATGAAACAGTCCATTGGGAATTGGCCCCTGGCATCAGATCAGCATGACTCGGCTCCGTGGAGTTGAGAGTTTTGCTTCTGGTCCTCATAATATGTCTAGCACTACAGGATGATGGAATCGGCGAGAAATGACACATCTAGTACCTATTGAACTTCTTGTCTTTCTTTCTGATCATATTTCTGGAAATAGGAAAATTCTCCTGTCTCCTAAATCTACAGCTTTCACCTCCTCATCCATCCCCTGGTCAACAAATTTCTTTTTCGCCTGGACAGTGTCTCCTTCTCCGTCAGATAAATGACATTAGTCTAATCTTGGACCAGGCCTTTCTTTAGGTGTTCAGGTAAGTATGGCTATTCCTGTGAGCAGATCCTTAATCTCCGAATAGATGAAGGTATTATAAGTGAATGATGGACTAATTATTATAAATGGCGACAGCAAACTCTTCTGGCCAGCTTGGTCAAAGCCACTTGTCAGGCCTAAAGGCTGGGGTTTTATATCACCTCTGAGACAGGGCCCTTTCCACTTCATCCCTCTTAATGGATATAACTTCTGCATCTATAGGTATGTAGTCATCTTCGGATTAGGTCACAGAGTGAACAGCCTATTAGTAACATGCTGTTCATTGGCCTGTGTACTTTAACTAAGGCTGTACTTGAGCCTAAGAGCCCTGGGTAAGCCTTGGGCTGCCGGTTTTCAGCCAGCAGCAGGAGAAAAGATGAGGCTGTTGTTGGTCTCTGTAAAAATGGACAGCCTTGAGAACCTACAGGAGCAATTCTACCCTGTCCTATAAGACCAGTAGGAGTTGGAATCTGCTTGATCGCAGCGGGTTTAGTTTGGGAATTGGTATTGTTGTTTGCATAATTTAGCCTCTGAACTCACTGCATGCATAGTTCCCCTATGTAAAAACATGAGAATTGAAAAACATTGAGCCAAATGCAGCAGTAAAATATATTTGTTAAAATCGAACCAAATCTATCGGATAAAATATATTTGTTAAAACTGATACTTCGGAATTAGATTGCAGTTGAAGGTGAAAACAGAAATTTGTGTCCTCTACCTTCTATTCATAACAAGAACTTATGGAGAGGAGCATCTCTTACTCTCCTAAAACCCATGCCTTCTTTTCTCAGCACATTCAGCTACAGAGTAAATGGTGATTAAAATGTGCAGGATGACAAGATGGAGCCGACAGTGCTTGTACCACCAGGACCTGACAGCTTCCACTACTTCACAAGAGAATCTCTTGCGGCGATTGAAAGTCGCATTGCAGAAGAAAAGGCTAAGAATCCCAAACCAGACAAGAAAGATGATGACGAAAATGGCCCAAAGCCAAATAGTGACTTGGAAGCTGGAAAGAACCTTCCGTTTATTTATGGAGACATTCCTCCAGGGATGGTGTCGGAACCGCTGGAGGACCTGGATCCATTCTATATCAATAAGAAAGTGAGTGTTTTCTATCAGGCATATTTTGCTGTTCATTGCCTACTGTATACCTTGGACAATTATATCACTAACACATTCTGAATTAGCACAAAGCCTTATGTACCCTTCCCTCACATTACACATATCTCAGGCATACACATGAGAAATAAATTAAGCATAGGAGATGGAACCACCCTGAATGTGCCTGATAGGTTCTCAAAAACAAATGTAAACCATAGGTGGGTAATTTAACTAATTTTAAAAATTCACACACACACACACAAACACACACCGAGCTAGTTTTAGCGTACAATTATACAGATTCTTTTTGCACTTGGAAATTCTGCAACCATCCAACTTATAAAGACTGTAATGAATTTTGATAATAATTTCTCATGAAACAAAATATGAAACCTCAGGATTTTCAATTTCATATCACATTACAAATAATATATCAAGACTTTTTCCATAAAACTTTTTCCCACTTGAAAAAGATCATTCCTATAGGAACAAGTTTGATTTTTGTAATCAACCTTTTGTAGTAATATATTGATATGGATAAGAATTTTAACCAAAAAATAGTTATTCAAAGAACCCATAAATGATATTGGAATGCATGCATTTTCTATACCCACACTTGAAATTAATACCTTGTATCAGTCTACAGCCTTTCATTAGCATGACCATGATCTCACACCAAGAAGAAAATCATAAAAAAAGATACAATCACAAAATGACTATTGTGTTAATATTCAATAACACTTATGATTTAATTTGTGGTATTTTATTACTTCTTTCAGCTGACATAGATACACCTTTGAACTCTAAGTTGAAGGATAAGGCAAACAAAAATTTTCAGTTGGCCAGGCGCCGTAGGGAAAAACCACAAAAGATTTTAGAGACTATTTTTGTAAGGAATTTGTCCTCATCAAACGGGAAAGTGTGGTAGTTTTCATATGAAGCATTAGAGACCATTTTTTGAATCAACTGTCATTTTGTTTACATTTTTTTTGAGCTTTTCAATCCACAGGCAGTTTCAGTATAACAGCGGAGCACGAGTGGCTTAGTGGGCTAGATGTTGGGCTGCTAACCCCAAGGTCAGCAGTTCAAAACCACCAGCTGCTCCTAGAGAGAAAGATGAGACAAGCCACTCCCATGTTGGGACTTCGATCCCGTGCCTAAGGGTCGCTAATGTGGAAAGACTGACGCTGTGGGATCAACTTCATGGCAGTGAGTTTAAAGTACACTACACTGTCCTTTTTTAAAAACTGGCTTATTTGTCATACAACAAAGAGAAAGAACAGTTTTTCAGGAATTCCATTTTCTTTTATTTCACTTTGCTTTTAAGCACTGTATGATCAAATCTTAGGAAGTAATAGAATATCCATTTCATAACTGACATTTAGATTGTGAGAAAGGTTGTCTAATGCACTTTATCATTAAATCAGTGCTTTAGAAATTAATCTAAGATGGCATCGGAGAAGCTAAAGCCCAAATTAATTGGAACAAACCATGAGGATTTTATTTGTGTAAGAAAAGTCACAGTGAATCTCTTCCAATCACTCCAGCAAAAGACCTTTCACTTATTTAAAATGCCCTGTGATTGAAGCACAGGTTGGATGTGCTCCGGTCAGCAGTCCATCCAGGCGATGTTGCTTTGTTTCTGGTCACTGGACACCGTCAGTCCTTTCAGACGCTGCTCTTTCACACATTTTGCGTCATACTTTATGTGATGTTTATATTTTCATTCCTATATCTGTGTAAACACTGTTCAAAGTGCTGATCACATATGAAGGCGCTTCAACATGCTCTTGAAGAAATTCCACTTTTCCAGGAACTTAATGTAGCCCCATTAGATTAATTCATTCAATCCTTTAATCCTCAGTGACTTTTTGCTACCAGCCCCCACCTCTCTCACGTGGCAGCCACCATATATAGATGATTAAAGCCACCCTAGGCTCTCTGCTTTCCTTACACAGAGGTGCAGTGCAGCATGTCACCTCAAACACCCTACTCTTCCTTGTAAAACAGTAAACAGATGTTTTGAGAAGGAACACAGCCATGCATGTAGACAAGGGCAGAGATTCTTCATGTAGAAACCAGCATTCAGTCAATCTTTTAAATGAAAGACCTTTCAGATTGATAAAAGTGATTGTCTTGAGAGACTGTCCCCAACCTAGACAATCCACAGTTGTTTTTTTAGTGGGTGCCATATAAGAAAGGTGAGACAAAGACGGGAAATACAAAGTGCACCAAAAAAAAGAAATTTCTCACCCATTCCAAATGGTGAAATAAAGGCTTTCACAGTGTAGATGGAAAGACCGACTCTGTTGGAATGACTGGCTGACCAGACTCTTGTGCTGAGGCAACACTTACACATTTTGCTAGGTTCATATCCAAAGCACACCTCTAGCGTCGTCTTCCTTATCTTCAAGTACACATTGTGTGAAGAAGGAAAAACATTTTGGAAGAAGTCACAATGTGCAAGTAGAACAACCTGATAAGAGAAATATTTTGTTATCAGGAAAGGTTTTCCAAGGTAAGGCACCTTCCCTTCTTTCATTCGGCTGACAGCAGGCAAATCTTCGAATGTAAGTCACAACAATTCGGATGAAACTTCTCACAGGATTGAAATCCTTACAAATTAATCTGGCATGCCTGAAACTTGCAATTGAGCTACATGCTGGCCATCTCCTTATTTTGTATTTGTACATATTGAAAATCTCTACGAACAGCATGTGCCTGGTTTTCAGGCTGACTTTTCTTTCCTAATTGGATTATTTTGGTATTGAAGAGTACCTGTAAATTCAGAATTCATTTGTTCTGATTAAAGCTGGAACACTGATAATTCTTGTAAGAGTACTGAATATTTCCTTTTATTTTTGACGAGTAATTTCATTTTTGTGATGTCAGTGTCTGACGGGCAGGCTGATTCTAATGAAAACACCCCAGTACAACTCCGTCCTCCTGGAGGGGGGAAGGGTCTAGAATAGCGGGCTTGTTTCATAGGTGCGATTCCCCGCTGAGAGAAGGTTCGTGTGTGTGAAGCTGTTTGGTTGAGCTGTGACGCTCAAGCATCAGGTACACTAGCATCTTTAGGTCCTTCTTGAATTGTAGGTCTTTCCTAAAATGTAATTTCAAGTTCAATAATTACTCTATCATTTCAAACAATATCAAGTTTCTTGTTTCTTTCATACAAATACATAGAAAAAAATGTTAAATGACAGTGGACTATAAACATGGTTGCTGAATATCCACTCATTAAACCATGTTTTACAGTAAAATCTAGTGATGCACACATGTACATAGAAGCAATTAGTCTAAGCAGAAATAACACAAACCACATCCAAGGTCTCCTTGATCTTTAGCAGAGACAATGTCAATGAGCGTATGGAAGCATCGCTGCTGCTGATCCATATGCCCACATGTTTTTATCCTCTTTGCTGCAATGAAAAATGTATGCTGTATATTGTTCAAAGAGTCTAGTGAAATTGTGAAAGTAGTTTAAGCCATGTTCCATGATATTGTAGTAGGGCCTGAATAACTAGCAACAATTCCATGAGCATCCCTGGTACATGGAAGCAGGAGGACATTCCAGATCCTCAAAGGTTTTCAGCCTACCAGAAGTCCAAGGTAAGAGCTGAGGATTGAAATAACGGCACTGTTAGAATACAGGCAGAGGGTTTTCCATATCAAGTTAGCTCTGGCCCAGTAGCCCCTCTAGAACATGATCCCACGCTGAGCACCTTTGTTTATTTTAGCAGTGCATCAAGGCACGTCGTAGCTTGTGAACGCATCTCCCCACTCCGCCCCTGATGGGATTGTTGTCACAGTTTCCTGCCATAGCTTGGGCTGATTTGGCACCATTTGGCTATATGCTCCAAGTCTTCACCCACTCTTTATTTCAGAAAACTTCTTCCTTATGTTCTTCTTAAAATTGCAGATGACTCATTAGTTCCATGGGAGGAAATATTCTTTTGACAATGTGATATTTTACTGGAAATAGAATGAGGTATTTTAATTCTGTAGTAGAAATGGGTAAGTTTATTAAGTACAAAATATAGAGATATATACATTTAAAAGCTAAATTCCTTACTTAATTATCTCATGGACCATTTTAAAAGTGACGTATTATACCTTTAGAGAAACCATTTTTAAAAGATGCATATTAATTCTCTAATGGGAATGCATGAGAATAATATATGAATTTGGGATTTCAGATTCATACTTGGTATTACTAAAGAAATTTTTATCCTTACATATTGGGTTGAGGGAGTTCTTTTGATTTTAATTGGGATTGGGATTTTTTTTCTTGAAAAAATAATTTAGTAGAACATGAGAAAAGTCGATGATAATTAAAAGCTTAGGACTCTAGGAATTGCCATGTGGAAAATCTCTAACTTACAATTTTTCTTTACAAATACTTGACTCCTCTCGAGCCACCTGAGGATGATTCCATTTGAGCGACCGTAGACGGACTTCCCACTCTTACTTCACCACATACAGGTCCTACTACTGCACGCTATTTCTTCCTTCAGCCTCTTCCTTCCTGCACCTCCGGTTCTGTCTCAGAAACAGCCCCAAGAAGATGCCGCTGATGAGGAAAGGATGGTTGGAATTTACTGAGTACTCATTATATTAGCTTGAGAGCCTTCAGCTGAACGTGACCAAACCTCAACGGAATCAGGGTAATGAAGGAGGGAAAAAAGAAAATAAACAAATGTGCAAAGGTGAACCTGGTTTCAATATTGATGGGGCAACAACACAAGGTTGTCAGGACCCAGCTTTTCTGGCTTGACCTTCTCCTATGATGGGTTGATCCTGAGGCTGGCTCTTTCCACAAGATAGGAGAGATAGCCCCCAGTAATCAAAAGAGAGAAAGAGCTCATTTTTCAAAAGTTAACAATAGCAGCAACAGAAAGCATTACTATATATAAATATATATTATATAAATATATTATAGTATATATTACAGAAAGCATGTTATAGAATATAGATTTGCATAATATTATTTGTGTCAT